CTTTATCAACCACACTGATCTGAGACCCCTGAATTGACAGCAGATAGGAAAACGACCCGGGATAACCCCTAGTAGCTTATAATTTTAGTATGAATACCCAGTTTTACTGTTGTCAATCCAGCTTGTATATCATAAAACAAAAAAAGTCAGTTCATAGAATGTATGTTTATCGCACAGATTTATACATACAATACAAGGTGGAGTATCTTTCTTTTAAAAGTGAATACAGTTCCTGGACATATTTCCCTAAGAAAAATATAAGCAAACACACAATAGTGCAATATAGCCAATTTTGAAAAGTAAAGTGCAATAGTAGATAGAAAAGCACTCACAAGCGTAGAGCCACTATGTAAGGCTCAAATTTCCAGCTTTGTGGGATATAGAGGTACCCACTCCCTTCTTTATACTGATAGGAGATCTCAAGCAATTAATGTTTTGAATGCATGAAATTAAGAACCAATGCCATACACGTTTGAAGTACCGTACTAGCAGTCAATCAGCGCAATGATGCGAATGTGGCAAAACGCGTTTTGCACCTGAAAGACTTTTATCAAAAGGACTTACCTTCGAAATTGTAAGGTTTTTTTATTTCATTTCATATATTTTTTAACTTGTGTGCACTTTTCAATAAAGCACTTTACTACTCAATTGATTGTGAGGACATCCAAATTGCTTAAGATCTCCTATCAGTATAAAGGGAGTGGGTACCTCTATATCCCACAAAGCTGGAAATTTGAGCCTTACATAGTGGCTCTATGCTTGTGAGTGCTTTTCTATCTACTATTGCACTTTACTTTTCAAAATTGGCTATATTGCACTATTGTGTGTTTGCTTATATTTTTCCTAGGAAAACACCGGTCCAAGAACTGTATTCACTTTTAAAAGAAAGATACTCAACCTTGTATTGTATGTATATTTATGTTTATCGTGAGATTTAAGGTAATACTCACAAAGGAGTAGAAGTATCGATTATCATTGGTATTACCCACTGGGATATTGTAACAAATATTATGCTCTCAGCTTATCACCAGCATACTTTAAAAGGCTTCTACATTGAGAAGATCCCTCTGGACCTCAGAGAGAATATCCCCTCTGGACCCCGGGGAGACGATCCCCATTGGACCCCAGGGAGAGGACCAACACCGATTCTCCTAAAGGTAGGAAGGCTGAATAGGTATAAAAATAAAACAACAAGAAATACATTTAATTTGTAAAATGTGTGTGCAAGAATGTGTAAATGTGTGTATTAGTCAGTGAGTGTTGTCAGTGTTAGTGTATTAGTCAGAGAGTATATCTGTCAGTGATTCTGTTTCAAATCAGTTAGTGTGTGTATGTCGTTGAGAGTATTTGTCAGTGAATGTGTCTGTCAGTGAATTTGTGTGTCTGTCATTGAGAGTGTAACTGTCATTGAGAGTGTGTATGGGAGCAAGTGAGCGAGTCTCAGTGTGTATGTGTGTGTCTGTTAGTTTGTGTCTGTCAGTGTTTCTGTCAGTTAGTGTGTGTCTGTCAATGAGTGTGTGTCTATTATAGAGAGTGTGTGTCAGTGTGTCTGTCAGTGTGTGTGTATGTGTCTGTCTGTTAGTGAGAGTGTGTCTATCATTGAGTGTGTGTTAGTGTCACGACCACGCTTAACTGGGGGTCCCACGCTGCGTCTCCGTCCACTTCTGCGGTGGTCCCTCCTCGCTGCACGCCTAGGTCTCCAACGTGTCTGACCCCAAGAACAGACGGCCGGCATCCCTGTAATTCATTTACGTGCCGTCGCTGCTTCCACGCCACAACCTGTGGTGAAGCTCCAGCCGAACCCACGTGTAAACTCCACACACTCTAGGCGTATGCGCACCCGACAGCCTTCTTCTTAAAGGGACAAAACACCTGAAACATTTTAAAGGGCTAATTACTGTTTAACCAATGATATGTGAGAGGTGGATACCCCTCCTCTATATAAACCCAGCTAACCTCTACCTCAGTGCTCAGTTATACTGTGCTCTTTGGTATATACACTTCTGTGAATCCTGTCTTCATCCATCCCTTAACCTATCTGCCTGTTATAGCGTTCCTGAACCTGCGCTGCCTGCCTGTGACCTTAGCTAACCCTGACTACGAGACTGTCTTATCCTTAATTGGTACCTCGCTTTTGGCTCACTACTGCCTCCTAGGCCCCACCTGTCAAAGACCCAACAGTCAGTGAGTGTGTGTTTGTCACTTAGTGTTTGTGTGTGTCTATCAGTGAGTATGTCTGTCAGTGAGAGTGTGTCTGTCACTGTGTATGTGTCTGCCGGTGTTTCAGATCAGTGAGTTTGTGTGTCTGTCATTGAGAGTATGTGTCAGTGTTTCAATGGAATTTGTTCTTGAGACCACAGTACTTTTTATTTAGCCTTTAGGTTTTAATAATAATTAATTGATTTTCAAAATCATCTACCACCAACCCACATCACAGATATTCTGGTAGTCTAAGTAATAAACAATATTAAACATATGTTACTGGCAACTTTTGGTAACATATTATACTTGATTCTGGGGGTATTGACCTATGGAAATATTCCAAATTATTATTATTATTAGTTTTACTAACCCATAACTTGCTGGCAAATATCAGCAATCAGATAAATGTTGAATTAATATGCCACAAACTCAATGCCCACCAAGCTCCTGTGCATTGTGAAGTTAATATATGGATAGTATAAATAATAAATGGCACTTTAGGTAGATTGACAATGTAACACATTTGTATAAGGTCTTCTATCCTGGAACAATTTGTTTATAATGGGTTATCAGTCTTTGTGAATGATCCAAAAGTTTTTAGTTGTTTGTTTGTTTTTTCTGCAAAAAAGAACTGATTCCAGAATAAACACAGTTTAAGCCATTTTTGGTTGGATTGCATTTCAAAAAGTCAAGAAATTGGCTCACGAATAAAGAACATACTGTCATGAGAAGATGTTTAGAAAAGCGCACGTTTTGAATCTTTAATTAAAAGGATATATAATTTGCATCAGAAACGTAATGTTGCTAAAACCTTTTAAAAAGTACTACAAATAATATGCAAAGCTCTGTTTCTTTGCTCCATAGATATCACAAAGAATTACAGTTTGCCTTTGCATTGCTTGGCAAAAAAGTCTGAAAAAATAAACTCTACACCAGAGCTCCCGTTTTTTGAAAACATTTTGTCAAGCTGCAGTAATAAAGAGCTTAAGTTTAACAAAAAAAAATGCTAAGCTGTAACTTTAGCTATATAATGAAGAGCTATAAAAAATATATACATATACAATATTGATAACATTTATAAAACCAGAATTTTAGCTGAATTCATCTTTCTTTTCTTCTACTCCTGTTCTAAAAAGCAACTAATATTGCTACATGTTGGATTTTTGCTTTTAGAAGGAAATTGAAAGTTTTTTTTTTCATAGATTTAAAGAAGTATTCTAATCAAACACTTTTACTCTGTATATTTCTTATTTTTCCAGGCAGAGTTCTTTCCTCGGCATAATGATTCCATGAGTCCAAATCGCACATAATTATTCACCCTTTTGTCCTGAGCTCAACTTATTCTATTTCATTGCTCTTTTTCAGCTTTGATGAAATATCTGCTTTAACTAGAGGAGCACAACAAATTAATAACAATTCTAATGATGTAAATATGGTCAATAGAGACGAGATGTTCCTAACATGAGGGCAACATTATAAATACAATGTGATTTGGTTATTCTATCTAAACCATTATACAGGTGAATGTATCCTATGTGAAGAGAAATCTTTTTTTATTGAAGAAACAACATTTCTTACTAAAGAAAACACAATTAACTACTAAGAATAACTTATGAATAAATGACTTAACAAAACTATGACTCTTAGAAGACTTTTTAATTATGAAAAGTCTGCTTTACAAATACCTGTCATGCTTCGCTAGAGCTCTGGTAAGATAAATAAGACAGTCTCATGGCTTGCTGTGAGAATCTTTAAGGGTCCAAGGCTCCTGAGCTCATTGGGTAATGGTACATCAACCTGACTTGCAGTTAAGCTTTGGTGTCCCTACAAAGGGTAAAATATGTTTAAAAGCACTTTAATAATAACTAACTCTACCATTAAATGGACAATGTAGGCACTGCAATTGCTTCATCTCATTTGAGTGATTATAGAGTCTGGAGTTCCCTGGTTCTGTCCTACCATTCAGCAGGAAAAAAAATTCAATACTAAATGTCTTCCTACTCTTTTTCGTAATGGCCATTTTCAATATAATGCATATGCATAACTCATTTCTCTTGTTGTTTTGCTTTAGTATGAGATTTTTTTCACAGCGTTTTTGCGTAATATTATTTTCCTGCTAATCTTGTTTTTTCCCTATGTTTAAAAATGCTAAACCGGACATCCACCCAAATCCAATATGGCGGTGTGTCCACTTCCATTAACGTCAGTTCCGATTGATGATTCACATTGACAACATCATATACAGGAGCCAGACATCACACACGTTGACTATGTAAGCAGCTGAGATACACCCTGGGACCTTCTAATGAAAGCTTGGTATTGCTTAAATAACCGGAACATGGCTTACTCTTCATTAACTTTTGATAAAGCTAAATGCGTCAAGTGAGGACTCTTTATTGCATTGTGGACTGGTATATCACTGCATATTGTATATTTTAAATGTTATTATGTTAAAAAAAAAATGGGAACTGGGGACACATCCAGAACATGCTTTTCTAAGCAGTGGTGCTGGCGTAAAGAACGGCGCACACACAAAGCAAAATACAGCTTTCCATTTAACAAGGCTACTTAAAATCACCTATCTTAGCAAATTAATATGGGGATTCAGTTCCACCATATAACCATATCGTGTTAAGCCCACCACTACGTTACAGTACCCCAATATCGGTGGGTCCTACACTAATTCTAAAATTGGAGCATTACAAGCTAATTACTTGCGGTGTAAACTGCTTCAAGAGACTCCTCAATTTAAGCTTTCCTGTGGGAATTGCAGCTTTATATTAGATAGTGAGCTGCTTCTCTAATCCTCTGCTGGTCCTGGATTCAGCTACAGCATACAGTGATTCTAGCCCTCTGGAACCTTGTAAAATTCCCCAATATAGTGGACAAGACCAGTCGTATTGGGTAAAACAAGAGTACTGTTTATTTCAGAGGAAAACACATGCATTTATCCCCCTACACACAACAGGGGGTCCCCATACCATTACACACAAACTCCCCACGTGTGCCTGGGAGATAATTGAATTATCTCCCTGGTACAAAAAAAACATACAATTTTAGATTCCTCTTTAAAGCTGGGACCCCAACAGAGCCACTCTATAAGGTGTGAGAAGTCACACAAGTGGCCTGGATGTCTGGTATAGGTATAAACTAACTCTCTCATCTGCCATATGTCTTGACTCCCTGTCAGATAAGGAGTCCTTTGATGTGAAGAAGCCTTGTGTTCCAATATCATATCCAAAAGAGACATTAATACCTGCCCAAAGATTAATACTCAAGCCTCATTTTTATCATGTTAAGAACGGGACAAGCACAATCTTCTAATCAAGCCTAAACATGATTTGCGAACAAGGGGACCCCACAAACAATACATTGTTAAATAGACCTGATTTGAGCGCCCAAGTTCTCCAAATAGAGCTAAGATCCATGCAGTGTAGGGGAAACACCACCACGTTAAACCGGCCACACACATGGTCCTATGCCCAACATAGTTCCTGGGTGTTTGGTGTTTTTGCCAGTCAACTTTTCAGGAGCTCCTGCGGCCACAATACTGGGTTCCCCGTTTGATTCTTAGGTAGCGTTTTGTTCCCCTTAGTCTCAGGCAACCAGGGAAAGCTACTAATGGCAGCTGGCAGGGTAACTCCCAAATGGTGTCCCAGACCTGGACCATAGTCAGTGGGCAGGAGGTTAGCTATTATGCCTCTCCAGCAGGCTGTGGCACGGGAGCGTCTGTGACATGATATAAGGGTAACATGAATATATATTCAATGATGCGGAGCTGGAGGCCCTAGTTAATGGGATATGTCAGCACTTTGACAAACAGGTCTGATGATTTGTGAAAACATCTCCAATTAATGACTACAATCATCTGTGGAGAAACAAAGGGGTCAAGTCAAGGAAATGTAGGATAGATCCTCTCCCGTTTTGACATCTGTGGCATTGCCGTCAAATTGCTGCAGTCACAACAAGCTGGTCATTAGCTGTGAGACAATGAGCTCTTTGACTATTCATCTTCATTTTCTTTCAGTGTTTTTCATTCTTTCTCTGCACTTCTTCTATATCACTTGTGAGCTGTAGGAGATTGTGTGGAATTTTCCATTGCTTTTGCTTGCATTTTTAGCGAGAAAATGTATATATACAATTATGAAAGTGAAACATGTCATTTGCACTAAAAACAAGTAGATACTCTGCAAAAGAGAACGTGGTTGGATTTTCCAAGTATAATGCAAAGACAAAATGTATTTTCTGTTGCACAATGTAGACCTGTCCATGTATGTACAAGTATACAACAATTTTATATTCATGGCTTGATTCTCTGAGTTAAACATGCATTTTACATTCTCTCCTTCGTGGAAGTCATGTATTTAAAAACTGAAAGCACTTCAGTTAAAAGATGAAAACCTTGATGCAAAACCATGCATCATCAACATATTCTGTAATTGTAGATTATGCTAACGAAGTGTACTTATAATTTTAATTTAAAAATAAGAATAAATAAAAATAAAAATAAATATAAAAATAAATATAAAGTATGAAGATGATCAAAATTAGAGAAAACAAATTAAATCAAAATCCACATTTACCCCCACCTGCTTCTTCCATTTACCACTCTGGAGAGAGGGATACAGATCTTTGATGGGCATTTTTATCTTTCACTTCTTGTAAGTGTTCAAATAAAAGCGTGCTTTTTATATTATTAAGATTTCACACTATGTCCAGTTCTTCCTTTTTTTGCATGTACCCTTGAGGAATTTCATTGCAAGATCTAAAGAAACCTTGATGGGCTTGAATTACTCCTTTATTCTGTGAGTGCAATATTTACAGCAGGGACATTTCTACTAAACGGTGTTTCCCTATGAATGTTCTCTGCTTTTGTTTTTTCTAGGTGTATCTTGTTTTATATATACCTGTGCTAAATAGTTTCTAAATTGATATCCTGATATCTGTCAGGAATCCCTGAATAACCCTTCACATGTATATATATTTTTAAGGAAGACAACCTAAGGTATTAAACTTGTGGTAAAACTAATACCTGCTCATCTATATTAACACATTTAATTTTGACTTTATATATTTGTTTATTTTTGTTTTATTGTGGTTATTTATGATTATATTTAATTCGGCAGTACCAACTGAATTTATTGTAGGACTTTTTCTTTTCTTTTCAGTGTTTCTTTTCAGTGAAGCTATTGTACTTGCCAAGGCAAATAAATATTACAATTTGCTAGTAACAAAATCTGTCATGACTCTTTATACATTTTTAAACAGATTAATATGAAAACTCTTAACGTTTTTGGTTAGAGCTACTATATGGAGAGAAAAAAATGTGCAGTGGACTCTAACTACAAACAAGAGACTTTCTACAAGAGACTAGAATTGTAGACAAATAATAGCCGAATAAGACCATGTCATTCTTTGGACAATTGCAGAATAAAACATTCTGAAGAGTATTGCACAAGCCTTTTTAGTGAAGTTTGTGCAATGCATTGTTGTTATTATTATTATTGCCATTATATAGCGCTAACAGCATAGGCATGCGCACACCCTTATCTAGGTTGCAGGGGCAGACTGAGCAGTATTCGATCAGTTATGGAGATCGATAAATCTCCTTAATAACCCACAATACTAGCTGAGTGCCAGTTACAGGCAGCACACACAGCCTCTCGCACTGCTTACCCTGCCGGCTGGTATACAGGGGAGTGCTCCGTACTGTAGGAACTGAAATCAGAGCCCCGCCCACTCCACACACAGCCTCTCAAACTGCTTACCCTGCTGGCTGGTATACAGGGGAGTGCTCTGTACTGCAGGAACTGACATCAGAGCCCCGCCCACTCCACGCACAGCCTCTTAAACTGTTTACCCTGCCGGCTGGTATACAGGGGAGTGCTCCGTACTGCAGGAACTGACATCAGAGCCCCGCCCACTCCACGCACAGCCTCTCAAACTGCTTACCCTGCTGGCTGGTATACAGGGGAGTGCTCTGTACTGCAGGAACTGACATCAGAGCCCCGCCCACTCCACGCACAGCCTCTTAAACTGCTTACCCTGCCGGCTGGTATACAGGGGAGTGCTCCGTACTGCAGGAACTGACATCAGAGCCCCGCCCACTCCACGCACAGCCTCTCAAACTGCTTACCCTGCTGGCTGGTATACAGGGGAGTGCTCCGTACTGCAGGAACTGACATCAGAGCCCCGCCCACGCCACGCACAGCCTCTAACACTGCTTACCATGCTGGCTGGTATACAGGGGAGTGCTCTGTACTGCAGGAACTGACATCAGAGCCCCGCCCACTCCACGCACAGCCTCTAACACTGTTTACCCTGCTGGCTGGTATACAGGGGAGTGCTCTGTACTGCAGGAACTGACATCAGAGATCCGCCCACTCCACGCACAGCCTCTCAAACTGCTTACCCTGCCGGCTGGTATACAGGGGAGTGCTCTGTACTGCAGGAACTGACATCAGAGCCCCGCCCACTCCACGCACAGCCTCTCAAACTGCTTACCCTGCCGGCTGGTATACAGTGGAGTGCTCTGTACTGCAGGAACTGACATCAGAGCCCGCCCACTCCACGCACAGCCTCTCACACTGCTTACCTCTCACACTGCTTACCCTGCGGCTGGTATACAGGGGAGTGCTCCGTACTGCAGGAACTGACATCAGAGCCCCGCCCACTCCACGCACAGCCTCTAACACTGCTTACCCTGCTGGCTGGTATACAGGGGAGTGCTCCGTACTGCAGGAACTGACATCAGAGCCCCGCCCACTCCACGCACAGCCTCTCACACTGCTTACCTCTAACACTGCTTACCCTGCTGGCTGGTATACAGAGGAGTGCTCCGTACTGCAGGAACTGACATCAGAGCCCCGCCCACTCCACGCACAGCCTCTTAAACTGCTTACCCTGCCGGCTGGTATACAGTGGAGTGCTCCGTACTGCAGGAACTGACATCAGAGCCCGCCCACTCCACGCACAGCCTCTAACACTGCTTACCTCTCACACTGCTTATTCTGCGGCTGGTATACAGGGGAGTGCTCCGTACTGCAGGAACTGACATCAGAGCCCCGCCCACTCCACGCACAGCCTCTCAAACTGCTTACCCTGCTGGCTGGTATACAGGGGAGTGCTCCGTACTGCAGGAACTGACATCAGAGCCCCGCCCACTCCACGCACAGCCTCTAACACTGCTTACCCTGCTGGCTGGTATACAGGGGAGTGCTCTGTACTGCAGGAACTGACATCAGAGCCCCGCCCACTCCACGCACAGCCTCTAACACTGTTTACCCTGCTGGCTGGTATACAGGGGAGTGCTCTGTACTGCAGGAACTGACATCAGAGATCCGCCCACTCCACGCACAGCCTCTTAAACTGCTTACCCTGCCGGCTGGTATACAGGGGAGTGCTCTGTACTGCAGGAACTGACATCAGAGCCCCGCCCACTCCACGCACAGCCTCTCAAACTGCTTACCCTGCTGGTTGGTATACAGGGGAGTGCTCTGTACTGCAGGAACTGACATCAGAGCCCCGCCCACTCCACGCACAGCCTCTCACACTGCTTACCTCTCACACTGCTTACCCTGCGGCTGGTATACAGGGGAGTGCTCCGTACTGCAGGAACTGACATCAGAGCCCCGCCCACTCCACGCACAGCCTCTAACACTGCTTACCCTGCTGGCTGGTATACAGGGGAGTGCTCCGTACTGCAGGAACTGACATCAGAGCCCCGCCCACTCCACGCACAGCCTCTCAAACTGCTTACCCTGCTGGCTGGTATACAGGGGAGTGCTCCGTACTGCAGGAACTGACATCAGAGCCCCGCCCACTCCACGCACAGCCTCTTAAACTGCTTACCCTGCCGGCTGGTATACAGGGGAGTGCTCCGTACTGCAGGAACTTCCAGTTTGTGTGAGGCCACTCCACACACAGCTCCTCCAGGGATCGTCAGCAATGTGTGCAGGGAGGATGGAGGACAGGACAGCAACACCCAGCCACCATGCAC